ATCAATAGGCAGTATGCCGTAAGTTCTGATTGATTACCTTCAAGCTGGGATGGATGTCCTCTTTTATAGGCCTTGGGAGGTGTGCAATTTGTTTAGAGTTTCGATGTGGGACTCTGGGCGTCAGTTGTGAGGCTGCCACATGTCAGAGTGGGCGAGGTTGCCCTAATGTTGCGATCTGTAGGTTTGGTACCGAAGGTGAGTGCCGAAGGCACACGTAGCCCTGGTTTGGTCCACGTGTTTGGTATTCATTGGCTGTTCATTTTGGTATAAACAGGAGTCCCCCAAGTCCCCTTGCGAGAGTCTTCGGAATGGGATTTGAAGTTATCTTCGGGAGGAATCACGGCCTTACCGTTCGGTAACCCCACCTGGGGAAGGGGCCAAATTTTGTCCCTTCCGGCATGACCAGCTCAGAGGCTGACGTTGGTGAAGTCAGAAGGTCGCGTCGATCTGACGGGCGAAGGGACGTCTGAGCGCTTCGACTTCCGCGCCTCGCGTGCCGTCTATTCCCCATAGGGTGAGCGACACGTGGCGAAGGTAATGATAGCGCGCGGCGCATTAATGCGCCGTTTGGTCTTTCGAGGAGTACCGTTGCCAACCAACCCCCCTATAAATAGAGATGACCCCGGAGGCGAACTCACTCTGCATCTAGTGAGAAGTGAGAGCTCTGTCTGAGGCGATTTCCGATCAGGGCTTTCGGTAATCAGGCGATTTCCGGCGAGTGTTAACGGTAACCAGGCGATCTCCGGCGTTTCGAACGGTAGGAAAGGCGATTCCCGGTATTGCGAACGGTAGTGAAGCATCCTGAAGAGCAGATCGCGCTTATCTTCCAGGGCACACCTTAAGGTACCGTTCGGCACCCTTTTCTTTAATCTGCTGCATGCTTTAAGGGTTACGTCCTTCCTTGGTTCGAACTAGACTGACCATAGGGTCCCATTCGGTGGTCTAGTCGCCATAGGTAGCGATGTAGGGATCGGTAGGATAGCGTCCGGCATGAGCCTTAGTTTCCCTTTTTCCTGTTTTTGTAGATGTCTGATAGCGAGTCATTCTCCGAGCGCGAGCCCAACGCGTTCGACGAGGAGTCATCGGATGGTCTCTTTGACTCCGACGGCGAAGCGGCAGGGCCTGATGCCGAGGGTGGGAGTGATACCGACGTCGAGATACTCGGCGAAGGGCCCAGCTCTATTCCAACGCACGGAGTCAGAAAAGGGCTAATGACCGCCCCCATCCCGCTCTCCAT